CAGCTTTATTTTCCCTTACATTTGTTTCTGGTGCTGGCATTAAACGAACACTATATGGTAGACAAGTGTTTTACTGCACAGCTGAATCCTCAGCTCTTCAGTATTTCTCACACTGTGCTGGGAAACTAGACCCATCCTAGCCAAGTACTCTACATATGAGCTATACCCCTATGTCCACCCAGCTTCTTCCAAGACTACCCAAGTATTTCTGTCACTAGTCTTTTCAGGCTACTTTGTTCTCTTGTCATTAATATATTCAACCAACCCTCGAGTGTCTCAAAGGGCCCTCAATACAGATCTGAGCCTGTGGCACTGTGCCTCCTACCTACAGACCTTTGGGAAGTCCCCTTTGAGGAAATCCTGGACCTGCAGTGGGTAGGCTCAGGGGCTCAGGGTGCCGTTTTCCTGGGACGCTTCCATGGGGAAGAGGTAGCTGTGAAGAAGGTTCGAGATCTCAAGGAGACCGACATCAAGCATCTTCGAAAGCTGAAGCACCCCAACATCATCACTTTCAAGTGAGGTCCAGGGCGGGGGCCTGGGGACACCATGACACACAAGACTCCCCTCACCTGGGATATCCCCTTCCTCATACGAGACCTGGGAATGGCATGGGTGGGAATGTAGGTCCCAGGAACACAAGGCAGATATTAAGCTTTACTCTTGTCTGGCCCTCAGGGGTGTTTGCACACAGGCCCCCTGCTACTGCATCCTCATGGAGTTCTGCGCTCAAGGACAGCTATATGAGGTGCTCAGGGCTGGCCGCCCTGTCACCCCCTCCTTGCTGGTTGATTGGTCCATGGGCATCGCTGGTGGCATGAATTACCTGCACCTGCACAAGATCATCCACAGAGACCTGAAGTCACCTAAGTGAGTAAGCATGCAAGCTCATGTGCATGTAGGTGACCTACCCATAGCAGATTGGCCACCTCCTTACATTTTAGGTTCTGCCCTAAGTCCATCCCTTCTTCCAAATGGCAGTCCTCAGGAGGACTGTGGTGAGCCTCTCAACTTTAGGTGTGTCAAATATTATCATAAAGAAAATAACAGTTAAGTGGGGGTGTGGAGGGCTGTGGCTCCTGGCTGACTACACTCTTTACCAGCATGCTAATCACATACGACGATGTGGTGAAGATCTCAGATTTTGGCACTTCCAAGGAGCTGAGTGACAAGAGCACCAAGATGTCCTTTGCAGGGACAGTAGCCTGGATGGCTCCTGAAGTGATTCGAAATGAACCTGTGTCTGAGAAGGTCGACATTTGGTGAGCACCAGGATGAGGGATGAGACTTTTAGGACTGACACAGAGGTCATACAGGTCTGGAAAAAACCCTTCCAAACGATGTTTTCTTGTCTTCAGGTCCTTTGGGGTGGTGCTATGGGAACTACTGACAGGAGAGATTCCCTATAAAGATGTAGATTCCTCAGCCATCATCTGGGGTGTGGGAAGCAACAGTCTTCACCTACCTGTACCCTCCAGCTGCCCAGATGGCTTTAAAATTCTGCTTCGCCAGTGTTGGTAAGGATGGCCTAGCTGGGAGACTAGACTGACTGAAGTTAAGGAACACCTAGAACTCAAGACATCTAGACTCAGAATCCTTAGCAAAAGCAAGGTCCAGGACCCAGAGTGTGTACCAAGGGAACTTAACTTACAACTGAGAGCAGGCTGCTCTGACCTGCAGAAAACACATCACATTCAAGAATTGCATCATGTCCTCTTTGAACATGTGTCTGATTTGATCCAGTGAGCAGTATCTATTATCCCAGGTTGCTGTAAAGCAGAAAGACATCACTGAGCAGGGCTGGCTCATCAAGTTGACCTTAGTCCCCAAGTGAAGAAGACTGAACCTGTTACTGACATTCCCAGTGTTTCTTTTGATGGAATTATTTAAAAGTTGTGGAAAGGTGTGGCCCTGGCTAGCCTGGAAGTTGCTATCTAAACGAGAATTAAAGGTATATGCCACTACAACCAGACATCAAGAGCTTTATTTGGGTATAAATATTCTAGCCTGGAACTGGTGGCACATGCTTTTTTCCAGCACTTGAGGCGGCAGAGGCCAGCCTGGTCTACAAAATAGTTCCAGGACAGACAAAGCTACACAGAGAAACCCTGTCTAAAAAAAAAAAAAACCAAAATGAGAAACTAGGTTAAATAGACCCCTCTGTGTGGTATCTTGGTGTTAACAAATGGAGTCAGATGACTCTCTAGGAAAGGATGCTCTGGTTCCTTTCTAACCCCCCCCCCCCATACCTCACAATTCCATTTTAGGAACAGCAAACCACGGAACCGCCCATCATTCCGACAGATCTTGCTGCACCTGGACATCGCCTCAGCTGATGTGCTTTCTACACCCCAGGAGACTTACTTTAAGTCCCAGGTGCGCTTTGGGTGGAAAAACAACAGACCTTTGACCCTTGCAGTCATGGCAGCCTTTGGTGTGACCAGTAAATGTGACTGAATAGTTAAGTCCTTAGAGAAACATCCATTCCCTTCTGCTCATAACTTACAGTGGCTCGGGCAACCTTCCAAGAGCACAGGTCTGTGAGGTGACAGGGACATAGTCCTCACCCCCTACCCCGTGTCTCTCCATCCCTAGGCAGAGTGGCGGGAAGAAGTAAAACTGCACTTTGAAAAGATTAAGTCAGAAGGGACCTGTCTGCACCGCCTAGAAGAGGAACTGGTGATGCGGAGAAGGGAGGAGCTCAGGTATGTGCCTATTTAGGAAAGTGAATCTTATCTAAACAGCAGGAACCATTCATCATGGAGTCAGAGAACAGGGTCCATTTCGGCAGCAAGCGAACCCAGCTCACCGTGGGAAAATCATCTGCCCTTTCAGACATGCCCTGGACATCAGGGAGCACTATGAACGGAAGTTGGAGAGAGCCAACAACCTGTATATGGAACTGAACGCCCTCATGTTGCAACTAGAACTCAAAGAGAGGGAACTGCTCAGGTAAGTAACCCTTTGTAGTACATCCCTAGTTTTCATGAAGCTAACCAATTTAGGAGCCCCAACCAAGTCTGGATTTTTTAAGGCGAGAGCAGGCTTTAGAAAGAAGGTGTCCTGGTCTACTGAAGTCACACCCTTCCCGAGGCCTCCTACATGGAAACACAATGGAGAAGCTCATCAAGAAAAGGAACGTGCCACAGAAACTGTCGCCCCATAGCAAAAGGTGGGACTCACATGAGGACTAAGGCTTGCATACGGCAGGAGGGATCCTGGCAAGGGATCATGGGGGGAGACTTACCACTGTTAATCTGAACATTGTACTTTCCCTCCCCTACCAGGCCAGATATTCTCAAGACAGAGTCTTTGCTACCTAAACTAGATGCAGCCCTAAGTGGGGTGGGGCTTCCTGGGTGTCCTAAGGGACCTCCTTCACCTGGAAGGAGTCGTCGTGGCAAGACCCGTCACCGAAAGGCCAGTGCCAAGGGCAGCTGTGGAGACCTGCCTGGGCTTCGTGCAGCTTTGCCACCCCATGAGCCTGGAGGACTAGGAAGCCCAGGGGGCCTAGGTGTAGGCCCTTCAGCTTGGGATGCCTGCCCCCCTGCTCTCCGTGGACTCCACCATGACCTTCTACTACGAAAGATGTCTTCATCATCCCCAGACCTGCTATCAGCAGCGCTGGGAGCCCGAGGCCGAGGGGCTACAGGGGGAGCTCGGGATCCTGGCTCACCACCTCCACCCCAGGGTGATACTCCTCCAAGTGAGGGGTCAGCTCCTGGATCCACCAGCCCAGATTCACCTGGGGGAGCTAAAGGGGAACCACCTCCACCAGTAGGGCCTGGAGAAGGTGTGGGGCTGCTGGGAACTGGAAGGGAAGGGACTGCAGGCCGGGGAGGAAACCGGGCTGGGTCCCAGCACCTGACCCCAGCTGCGCTGCTGTACAGGGCTGCTGTGACTCGAAGTCAGGTAAAGTATGGGGAGTTTCTTCTGCCCCACACCCATTTTCCTTAATCTCCTTAACTAAGGCCCCAACCCCACTCAACCAGTACCCTTGCCCAATTCTTAATGACTTCTTGCCATTTTTGGACTGGTTCATAAACACCTGCCCACACCCATCTCTACTGTAGAAACGTGGTATCTCATCTGAAGAGGAAGAAGGAGAGGTCGACAGTGAAGTAGAGCTACCCCCAAGTCAAAGGTGAGTGGTGCTGCAATGGCATCTTTCACTTTAGGAATGTTAAAGGACCACACAAGCTGTAACCATGCCTCAACATTTAGGTGGCCTCAGGGCCCGAACATGCGTCAGTCACTATCTACCTTCAGCTCAGAGAACCCATCAGATGTGGAGGAAGGTACAGCCAGTGAGCCTTCCCCAAGTGGCACACCAGAAGTTGGGAGTACCAACACTGATGAGCGGCCAGATGAACGGTCTGATGACATGTGCTCACAGGGCTCAGAAATTCCACTGGACCTACCTACTTCGGAGGTGGTCCCTGAACGTGAAGCCAGCTCCTTGCCCATGCAACACCAGGATGACCAGGTAGGTTTGAGTTGCAACCACCAGACACAGAAAAGTAAACTGGGATCAGAAACCCAGTCATTTGAGAATGTAAAGATAATTACCCTACAAAAGGTTATTTAGCCTTCAAACCACCAGTTTCTTCCATAACCATGAAAACAAATATCCATGTAAGTAGAATTTGAGACTTAACAGTTCCGAGGATATAGTACCTGATGTTTATACTTGTATAGCAGCTATACACTGCAGTCATCAAAGTATCCTAAAAGAAGTCTAGCCTAATGCCTTGTAGCATGATGTATGAACAGATTTAAAAAAAAAAAAAAAAAAAAAACCACCTCTGCTGATAAAGTAAAAGCACCCCACTGAAGCAATCTGTGATGCTGAGCTTCCCCCACCTCATTGCACTTCTATTCTTCACAGGGCCCCAATCCTGAGGACTCAGACTGTGACAGCACTGAATTGGACAACTCCAACAGCATTGATGCCTTGCGGCCCCCAGCCTCCCTTCCTCCATGAAAGACACTCTTATTCCTTGTACATAGAGAAATATTTATATAAATAATATATATGCGCCACATAATCAACAGATAGATGGGGCTTTCTTAGCCTTAAGTCAGGCTTGAGAGTTGAACGACGCCCCTGACCAATTTCCGAGTAAGTTCTAGGGACACTGGCAGCTGTGGAAATGAATGACTCCAAGTACTACCCTAGAGCTATAAGGAAAGGAAGCTGGTCCCTTCTTGCTTCACCCCATTCCTTATGTTGAACAAGCAAGTAGGCAATAGAAAAGCCAGGCTTGTCTCTACACTGTCTATCCCTGAACACTGGGGGGCAGGACAAGGATTCACTTAAAACTGCACTTTTATTTTCCGTTTACTGTTTACACATTTTGCACTTGGGAGGAGGGAAACTAAGGCTTGGTCCTCCCTCTGAGGTTTCTCAGGTGGCAATGTAACTCATTTCTTTGTTCCTGTTTCTCTGCCCAAGCCCTCGCTTTGGGCCCAGAGGCAAGTTAGAAGACTAATAGCATGTGATGGCTCAGGCTGAAGAACTGGGGTGCTGTTTAAGTCCCCACTGTTATCTTGGTGCCTAGTAAGGGTGGGGACTGTCATATTGTAACCCCTGTGAACAACCTTGAAATATAACCACTCCATGCAGGCCCAACTGTCGAGGGTTTTCTTGGTGAATGAGTGGAGTGGTAATACATGGTTTAAGTCTTGGATTTAAGATTTTATCTGAGGAATTTGGACAAGTTAATTTCTAAGTTAACATAAATGACAGCAGATAAGCTTTTATAAATGATTTCAGGACAATAATATAAGGAGGTCTCAAAACACCTGTGGAGAAAACTAAATGAACAATTACTAGAACATAAAGTTAAAGTATGCAAGGTAGAATGAGGGGCAGTCACTATCAGCGCCTTCCTGTCCCAGCTCCATAAATGCACCATCAGCTGCTCTACAACCCTAGGGTAAGTGTAACTGTCAATCTTCAGAGGCCACCCAGTATCATGGGGGGAAATGATCGAGGGCAAATTAAAACAAAAAAATTGTAGTAGTAAAAAAGGAAGTCCATTAATTCTATTTAAACTGAATCAGAGCTCTATGAAGGTTAAAAGGTATAAAAATAACATCAGACAGGAATAACACCCACATAAGTCACTGTGGCATCCAGTTTCTATTCACAAAGAAAAAGCTCCAGTCCATCTTTTAATTTTTTTTTTTTGAAAAATTCCTGACATTACAGAACTAAACTGAAATGTATTAATAATCCACTCTTACATTTCCATGACAAACAAAAATTCATGAGCCAAAAAAAAAAAAAAAAACAAAAACAAAAAAGGGGGAGAAGCTTATAAAACTAAATATGGATATCTCAGCGTAACTGCTGAACAGAGAAAGGAATTAAAACACTTTAATTAAAAAATCATGAGTGGATGATAAAGTGTGTAGAAACTGAAAATTTACAAACTATTTAAAACCTGGAATTGCTGACTGTTCAGAAACTACACAGATGGATCATGGGTGGTGGTGAACAGCAGAAAGGGATTATGGATGAATCTGCTCTGTTCTAGCTGCTCCCCATGCCACCTGTCTCCGAGGAAAGCCTGTAAAACAGAAACAAGAATAAGTCAGTTTACCTAGCTACCTACAATCAAGTAGTTCATTACACCAAGTTATTTCAAGGTTTCTTATATTAACTAGTACTATGATATGTAAGGTTGTTTATGTAATATAATACCACTACAACCAATGTTCCTCAGGTGTTCTCAGCATTGTCTCTACAAGTTTTATTTTTTTTGGAAACTGAAAGCATTTCTAGAGAACAGTAGGCTTCAAGAAGTTGATCCTAGAACAGCCTACCAATGAGAAGAAACTCTGTGTTGGGAGCATAACATTTTGAAGATATTACATAATTTTAACTACTTAAAGGGTGTTACAGGGAGGAGCAAGAATAGGAACTACAGTGAAGAATCCAATTATTGTTTTCAGGTTTATATTTCAGGACAAATACTAACAGGAAAACAAGTATCAAAGTTTCAGTTCCTTAGCTCACTCTCCAAAATCCAAAGCCTGGGGCCTTACAGTGCTAAATCCTCCTTGTAAACATACCTGGCTACAGTGCCTTTCTGTTTCAAATAGGTCATTTGAGGTCCTGGAATACAATTAAGCTTTGAGAGAAAGGCATTCGGTACATTTCACTATCACTGAATAGCAGCAAAATGCCTCATTCTGAAGACAACTAGAGGTGTCTCAGTTCCAAACCATAAGCTTAAGCTTAAATTCACAAAGAGCTGACTGACATCCATTTGTGATGTTTGGTTAATACCATAGGAAAAGGGGTATGTCCCAGAAACCAGAGAAGTCATTCTTCGATTAAAAAATGTGTTTTCTTTAAAGTCAGAAATTATTTGTCCTGTCTACATCACTACCCTGATGTGCCTAAATATTAAATATACATGTGCGATCTCAACCTATGCTGAGAGAGGCCTCTCATAGGTGAAATGTTAACACGGAGGGCAATCTTTAGCTCTATCAAAATGAAGAAAAGGGTTCAAGCAATGAGGACCTAGCACCCATGTAAAAATGCCAGAAGTGGCAGTGCTGGGGAGGTGGAGAAGAGAGCATATAATCTACCCAAATCAGTGAGCCTTGCCAAGTTCAGTCAAAAATCTCAAAAAATGAAAGATGACTGAGGAAAATAAAATATATCAGCCTTTGAATTCCATACACCCACACACACTTACACCAGGCCTACATGGGCTGTGGAGATGGCTCAATAGATACAGGGTTTGTCAACCAAACACCAAGAACTGACTTTAACAAGCCCTGTGTTAAAATAGATGCAGTAGATAGTACATGGCATCTGTAGTCCCAGCACACCAACTACAAATCAGAAGCAGAGAAAGAATTCTTAGAAACTGGAAAGTCAGTTTTTAGCAGTGATCAAAAGGACTATCTGAAACTTAGTGGAAGACAATGACCTCCACTTGTGCACTATGGCACGTACTCACCTAGACCCAACACAGGGACCCATCAACAACAACAACAACAACAACAACACACACACACACTCTTGCCTATCTCAAAATGGGATGACCCTATGGCAAAGTAAATAAGCTATAGGGACTCAAGAGATTTCTCAGTGGTTAAGTGGACTTATTGCTCTTATAGGGAACGGTGGCTCACAAATGTATGTGACTCCAATTCTATGGGATCCAACATTTTCAGGCCTCCAAAAGGCCCTCCTTAGGCAAACTCTGAATAATAAGAGATCAGGGAAAGAAAGTTTCAACATAACTGGCTAGTTTTAATCTAGTATCTCAATAACCATACAGGATGGTAGCACTGTGACCACATAAACAGCTCAAGAACTATGCAGTACTCATTATAAAGCATTACCAGGAATTTAAAGAGCAAGATGAAATAAATGAGTTACAGAGAGAAATCTCAACCAGAAATACAATGACTTTTGAGACCAGACCCATAAAGGATCACCAAGCTCTTAAAAATTTTCACACCAAAAATATTTGTTTGAATTATGGTATCAAGCCCCTTGAACATCTGGATGATTTTCCACCAACTCTTTATTTTGGGGCTATTTGTTGGACTAAAGCTAAAAGGGCTTCCAACAGACAGTTAAAAACCAAATCTCAGCCGGGCAGTGGTGGCGCACGCCTTTAATCCCAGCACTTGGGAGGCAGAGGCAGGCGGATTTCTGAGTTCGAGGCCAGCCTGGTCTACAGAGTGAGTTCCAGGACAGCCAGGGCTACACAGAGAAAAACCCTGTCTCGAAAAAACCAAAAAAAAAAAAAAAGAAATACCTCCTATTGTTTTGTGTTATAGTTAAGTCTTGTCCAGTCAGTTGTCCTCTACTGCGGCTTTGGAAGAAAAAGAGTAGTAGGCTGAAAGGAGACCTTTTCAGAACAGCCTTCTTGTGTGTACTGTACACTTGAATGTTGTTGTTGTTGTTTTTTAAGTTTCTATCTTTTTTCTAGTGTGATTTTCTTTAATTTTTTTTCCTAAGGTTTAATAGCTTTTAGTAACATCCTTTTTAAAAATGCATGTCTAGCCGGGCAGTGGTGGCGCTCGCCTTTAATCCCAGCACTTGGGA